ACTTAGTGTGGTAGGGATTGGGTTCCAACGACAGGTGGGGTGAGACAGACAATCTTGGAGGAAGCACACAAGTCCAAATTTTCTATTTATCCAGGGGCCACGAAGATGTACGGGGATTTGAGGTTGAGCTATTGGCAGCCCTGCATGAAGAGGGAGGTTGTGTGGTTTGTTGAACGGTGTTTGACTTGCAGGAAGTTCAAAGCCGAACATCAAAGACCTCACGACAAGATGCATCTGTTACCCATCCCTATGTGGAAATAGGAGGAGATCACTATCAACTTCATCACCAAGTTACGCAAGACAGTACGAGGTGTTAATTCTACATGGGTTATTGTGGATAGACTGACCAAAAGTGTGCATTTTACTCTGATTGTCGAGAGCATATCCACGGAAAAGTTAGCGGATATCTATGTTCGGGAGGTGGTAGTCAAGTACGGGGTGCCAGTATCTGTGGTTTCAGCTCGAGATGTTCGTTTCACCTCCATATTTTGGAGGAAGTTCCATGAGAAGTTAAGTTCTCAACTGCATTTCAGTACAGCGTACCACCCCTATATCGATGGTCAAAGTAAATGAACGATCCAGACACTCGAGGATATGCTTAGAGCTTGTGTGTTGGATTTCAGAGGGAGTTGGGATACTTACCTTCCACTAGCAGATTCCCCTACAATAATAGTTATCATGCGAGTATTGATCGGCCACTGTTCGATATGTTATATGCGTGACAGATTGCGGGTCACACAGAGTCGCCAGAAGAGTTATGTTGACCGACATCGTTCGTGAAACATCCCAAAAATATGGTCCAAAAATTTCACTTTAATTTATTAAGAAAACCATGAGTCATCCAAATCATCTCAAAAAACATAAGTGAAAATATCTCAAAACATCATATCAAACACTGTATCAAAATCATATGTCCAAATATCAGAGTAAATCATCACAAGCTAAATGTTGTGGTGTGTGTGATGCAGTCATCTCGAGCTCTTCTTCTTACTAGCGGAAGTACCTGAAACCAAAACTGAAACCTATAAGCACGAAGCTTAGTGAGTCTCCCCAAACTACCACATACCATATATATAATCACATAATAACATACATTGGTCCTTGCCCAATACATCGGGCCCCGCCCGGTATCGAGCCTCACCCGGCATCGGACCGAAGTCCGATATACATATAACATATCAACAAGCATATAACATAAACATTCCTCGGGCTTTCCCCGACATCGGACTGAAGCCTGGCGCATATAACACATAACATATAAGCTAAACATTCCTCGGGCTTGCCCTGGCATCGGACCGAAGTCCGGAACATATAAATATACACATGCAAGAATTAGGAAGAAATCAAGCATAAAATATTCCTCGGGCTTTCCTCAAAATCGGACCAAAGTCTGGAAACATATAAACTACATCAGGCTAACCCCGACATTGGACCTAAGTCCGGAATACGCTATCATACATAAACGGGCCGACATTGGTGCCTTCGACCCGTTCCTACTGGAGGAAAACTCACCTCAAATGTTGGGTGAAGTAGTTGAGGTATCTGCTCCTGCAACCGGCTCTACTCACGCCCTATACAAAACAGCCCCTTAGATACCATTCCTTACATCAAGACCCCTTCATAGGTCAACCTTGGTCAAAGTCAAGGTCAAATTCAAAGTCAACACTCAGTCAAAGTCGAAGTCAACAATCCGAGTTGACTCAACTCGTCGAGTCATCCCCCTGACTCGCCGAGCTCCCTTTCTACTCATAGTCATGATAACACGAGCCAACTCGTTGAGTTCTACCTTGTACAAAATCGGGACAAATCGACTCAACTCAGCGAGTCCCTCACTGGACTCATCGAGTTCCTCAATCTGTTTGGGCCATCTTAATGGATTAAGCCCCTACTCTTCAGATCTAAGCTTCATACCTCTCTTATACCTTGAAAATGTCCTTTTAAGGGTAAAGTCTCCAACTTTACCCGTTAATACATTTTCTTAATGGGTTTATCTAAAACCCTAACTCCTTAGGACCTAGATCTTGGTCCACAAGCCATCCATACTCCAAACTAAAGCCTACAAACAGAGATATAGACCCTAAACACTACATGGACACATAAATCTTCCACCTTTCACTTCATGCATGGCTTTTTGGAGCTTAAAAGGACAAAATGACATCCTATGGCTTGCATGGGGCTTCAATGGCCATAAAGTTTGCACCTTTATGCCATGAAAGCCCTCTATAATCCCATATTTGAAGGTCTACTCACTTGGGACGTCCATATCCCAAAGATCAAGCTTCTTGGACCAAAAACCAAATAAAGTGAAAATAAGGAGATCTGAGAAACTACTAAGCAAGTTAGAGACTTGATTACCAGAAAATGATGAGGATGAAAGGAAGTATTTGGATCTACTATCTTCTCCTTGAATCCTCAAGCTTCTCCTCTTCTTTACAAGCTTCAAAACACACAAATTTCAAACAAAAATGTCTCACAAACTCACAAATGTAGTAGGGTTTCTGAAACTAGGTTTTGGGACTTGGAGGCTGGAAATGAGGCCAATAAGTGGGGATTAGGATGCTTAAATAAGGTGCAAAACTCCAAAATTAGGGTTTCACTCTAGCAGTCCTACTCGTCGAGTTGAGGCTCTCAACTCGTCGAGTAGGTGACTTAAAATCCCACGTCAGATCTGGTTCCTACTCAACGAGTTTGGGGCTCCCAACTCGTCGAATTGCTCTACAAAATTGGAAATGTGTCATCCGATTCCGGAAGAGGGGCAAGCTGGGACCCCGATTCATTGGTCCATTCAGGATTTTTGTCCGGATCAACAGGGTTGCATATCGGTTGGATCTTCACGATGAGCTTAGTCAGATTTATAACACCTTCCATGTATCTTAGTTGCGGAAATGTGTAGCCGATGCTTCTGTAGTGATTTCATTAGATGACATTTAGGTTGATGAGCGCCTGAATTATGTGGAGAAGCCATTGGCGATTTTGGATAGGAAAACTAAGACTCTTTGTAACAAGGAGGTGATTCTAGTGAAAGGGCAATAGTAGAACCGCAAGGGATCTGAGTGGACATGGGAACCCGAGGGTGAAATGAGGGAGTACTGCCCAGAATTATCTGAGGCAACAAACTTTGCGGACGAAGTCTAATTCAAGTGGGGGAGATTTGTAACATTTGGAATTTAGGTATTTACCCTTTTAACCCTTGGAATGAAACTTATTTTCACAGGAGGTCCCTACATATGTTGGGCGTACATATGTGTACGCTTAGCGTACTTGGGTGGTTTGGACGCGGACATGTACCATGTATGCGGGGCATACTAAGGCATATGCGGGGCGTACGTGGCCTAAGACAAAAACCCTAATTTTTGGGCATGACCATATTTAAACACTCTTATGACATTTGGACCTAACCCTAAACAACTATAACACCCCGTTATTAAATAAATAAATAAACGAATGAATCGTAGCCCTAAAATCAATCATTATATAGCCATGTGTTGGTTTTGGGAGCCAAAAGTTATTATTGGGACTATTATTCGTGGGTTAAAGTATAAATTCGATACTTATTTTGTATATATTTATGAAGGCTGGGGCACCGTGGTAATTATTGGGACTTAATTTGGATGAAAAAGAGAAGGGAAAGCTGAATATGTCACATTTGAGGGTTGGAGGTTTAAAAAGGTAAATTGTGGATTAGTTTTGTAAAGATTTTAGAAGATGGGGGTTGTTTAGTAAAAACCCGAACTTATTTTGTAAAGGGATTCAAGGGGCAGGGTTTAAATGGTAAATATTGGCCTTGTTTAGAGAGAAAAGAGGGAAGGAGGGGCTGATCCTGTTATTATGGAAATAAGTTTAGAGGGGAACCGAGTATATAACCTTTACGAGAACCCTAACCCTAGGAGCCCTTAACAGCCGCCAACCCACCTTATATCCCCTCCACCGATCGCCACCTCCCCTTCCTAACTTCCGACGTTGCGCAACCATCATCGTGGAGATCGGAAAACACCAACATTATTCCCATCTGTCGGCGAGGGTGTTACCGCCACTGTTAAATTGTTTCTCCGACCAACGAGCCGTCGTCGGCCACCACTAGGGTGGTTGTGGTGTGTGTGTTTAGCTTAGTGTGTGTGTGTGTGTTATTGAGATTGAGCATTGTAATTGTAATTAACAAAAGAATAATGAAAAGAAGCACAAAACCACCATCGTAACGTGGTGGCCGCCATATATATATATATATATATATATATATATATATATATATATATATATATATATATATATATATATATGAACAAGACGGTTACAATGTTCAATAAGATGTACAACAACCTGGAAAATCAATGAACAAGTATGGAAAGTGATATGAAACACTTTCGACATTTTTTCGACATTTGGAAATGGAAAGATGTTTATAGAAAAGACGAAGAAGGTGGTTCGAAAAGAACAAAAATAATTTAGACGAGTTACACAACTTCATCGGATACCCGTTTGAGGTTTGACTTAAACCAGGATGATGAGCTTGAACTCGAAGAGATAACCCATCTAATAAGTAAAGATAAGGAAAAAAAGGTAGGCTATTTGTCAAATGGATCGGAATTCGACAAAGTTGATGACATACACAAGGGGCAAATAGCTTTGAATTATAAAATTTGAATTTCCAAGCTCGTTTGCAATTCAAAAAGAGAAATTGACTAAGAAAAAAAAAAGCGCAAGAAGAGAAGAAAAATTGCACTGCAAAAATAAAAATCCATATGAAAATTCTATCATAAAAGGTCGACCATCTTTCGGAAGACAAACTCGTTATGATTTTAAGGGCAATAGAAGAATTTATGATAAAATATTTTAAATAGACTTCCTTATATTATTTTTTATTTAATTCTGGTTTTTGTCAATGTAATATTTTTTGTTACTGAATTAATGAAATATTCATCTTTTATTATATTGAATATTTATAAAATTATTAAGTTATAATTATATTATATGTATTTAGTTAAAAAAAAATGAAAAAAAATATGACAGAGGATGAAAGGTGGCGAAAGATGAAAGCTTACACCGTAAGGCGGGACAGGTGGTTAAGTTTTGTAGCTTTGATATGTTGTACATCAAGCTTAAGATATTGTAATTTTTGTTAATTGCTTTGTATAGACTTTTTTAGAAACCGATGAAACCCCAAAACTCGCAGTTCTAGTTCAAATCAAGATACTCCCATCTTTCTAGTTTCTACTACGGTGTTCTTCAATTTCTGTCTATCACGTATCAACCACTTTAAGGAATTTTACTCTACTCAGATTCTCTTTTGCGTGATTCATAGCATTATCGAAGGATATGGGTTGTAATCTTCCCGCTTTAAGTAACTAGGGTTTACTTCATTGTAAGTTCGACTGTTCAACTTTGATTTTTTTATTATGTTTGCTGAATCTTTGTTGGCATTTATGCTTATTATGATTCCTGAACTTTTGGACCTAGGGTTTGCTGGAATGCTGTTATCGTTAACTCTATTAACGAGATGAACCATGTCGACAATATTGGAGTGATGAAAAAGATGACTAGTGGAACAGATTTTGCGAAGGATATAGAGAACAATATAAAAAGATGTCTTGAATTGGAAGAAAAGAGCAAAATGGATGAAATCAAGTGTATGATGTTGGAACTGGAGGTTGAAGATTTAAAGGAAAGGAACAAGGAACTTGAAGAGCAAATCGCAAGGATTCAGAAGGTCAAGAACAATGATGAAAAGGGGAAAGTTACTATCGTTGATCTTACAGGTGATGAAAACGAGAATGTCGGGTTGATGATTGAAAACAAAGTTTTGGAATGTGAGAAAACGAAAGCAGAAAGTGAACTTTCTTTTTGGAAAGAGAAGGCTAAACAATTGATGTCACAAGTTCGTGAATTGGAGTCAAAGCTGAATGAAGATGGAATTCTTCATTTGAAAAAAGATGATTCGATCTCAACTCCCAAATCTGCCAATGAAACATTAGAGACAGGGGCAAAACTGGAATATTGTAGCAAAGTTAGAAAGCGTTTACAATTTGAGGAAAACGGATGCTCCAACAAGAAATTTGCTCCATCTACACCAGGTTTTGCTCCACCCTTTTCTGGTGTTATCGATATTAGTGATGAAGATGTAAGTGATAATCAAATCCCAGAAGTTAAAAAGCTTTCTGATTCAACCCCTGATTGCACTAATCTTGAACATATTGATGAAATTGAAGATGATATGTTTGGATTTACAAGTGGTAAAAGGAAAAGATATTCCAATATAGTTGCAAGTGATAATGAAACCAGTGATGATGATGATGCTCCAATTTGCACACTCATAAAGAAAGATTATAAAGATGAAGATAAAGATGATAGAACTAGGGTGCCTTTAAGAAGACTTAGAAAGTTAGATGACATGAATAAAAGTGGGAATAGTTTAAGTGAGGATGAAGAAGATGATGATAGTTTGGGTGGATTTATTGTTGAGAGTTCTGAATCTGAATCTGGAAGTGGTGATAGTGATACTGATGGATGTGATGAATCTGAAGATGGATTAAATGGATATAAATTAACTTTAGATAAAATTAGGAGAAAAAAGGATTTGAATATGAAATGGGAATTAGAGGGAGATATGTTAGCTGATTTTGGGAAGAATCCTGAATTGTGTATGAAGGCTGTGTGTGTTCTTTATAAACAACAAACAAAAGATGAGAAAGAATGTAAAGCAACAATATATCACAATGAACGAGGGTTTAGTCATCCTGATGCAAAGAGGTGATTTTTTTTTTTTTTTTTTTAAAATTAAGATTGATAATCTATGAATATTAATTATGATTTGTAATTTATAATGTTTGTAGGGCTAGTAAGGTGGCTGAATTTTTGACTGAAAAAGACCCAAATTGTGATTTGAAGAAAACAGTTGAAGAACTGAAAAGATATGACACAAACGGGATTAAGTATTGCAGGAAACTCGCGATTAAATATTCAAAGCAGTTGTTTGAGATTTACAAGAACAAAGAAGATCCGAATTTCATGCCTTAATGACAAAATATGTGAATCTGTTTTAGTTTTACTTGTGTATGTGGTTAATATTAGTGTATCTAGTAAGTAAATATTTTGATAGATTATGTCGTTTTATTTCTATTAATGACATCATTGTGTTTTTTTAGTTTATTGCTTTATTAGGATGTTATACTTTTAGAAATGAAATCTATTGTAGTAATGGACAAATAAATTAATAAGATATAATATATAATCCAAACCCGGTTTACGAAATATGAACCATGCAAATCTAATTATCAATACTAGAAACTGAGAAATACGATCAAAATTCATGGAAAATAGTGGGTTTAATATTGAAAAATAAAAAAGCAAAAACCATATCAGAGACTGGTTTCGATCCAGTGACCTCCAAGCTTCCGCTGCGCCACTCTGATTTTTGTGTCTGATTGTCGAAATTTTATTATCAAAACGATAATTGTCGAAATTTTATTATCAAAATGGTAACTGGTATGCGTTTGCTTTAAGTTTATCACAATAAAATTTCGAAATTTAAAGATAAAAATCAGAGTGGCGCAGCGAAAGTGTGGTGGGCCCATGATTGTCGAAATTTTATTATCAAAACGATAATTGTCGAAATTTTATTATCAAAATGGTAACTGGTATGCGTTTGCTTTAAGTTTATCACAATAAAATTTCGAAATTTAAAGATAAAAATCAGAGTGGCGCAGCGGAAGTGTGGTGGGCCCATAGACCTGGATCGAAACTAGTCTCTGATACGGTTTTTGCTTTTTTTTTTTTCAATATTAAACCCACTATTTTTCAAGAATTTTGATCGTATTTCTCAGTTTCTAGTATTGATAATTAGATTTGCATGGTTCATATTTCGTAAACCGGGTTTGGATTATATATTATATCTTATTAATATTAATTTATTTGAACATCACAAATTCACAATAACTTATATGGCTTCTTATTCTGTTAATCAATACATAGTTACTTCAGTTGTCTTGAGTCTTGACGTTTGTTTCTTCATGTATCATTTTTTATTCGGTTTAAATTAATATAAGGTTGCCCGTTACTACAACAGATTTGTAAGTTGTAACATCCAAAACCAAATAAAGCAATAAACTAAAAAAACACAATGATGTAACTAATCGACTAGAAAGTTATAATAAAGACAACTATGTATGAGACTCGTGTGATATATGAGGGTTTTTTTTCTTTTTTTTAAATATTACTGTAATATATTTTGTTAAGCATTAAATGTTTAATAATTTATAAAACTGAGTTTAGAAAAAATATCAATATTAGTCGTGAATAAACAAATTTTTGTAAGATTTCTACAAATTATTGTGAATTAAAAAAGGATTGACCGAAAATTATATTTTTCAATTAAGAAGGTTGATTTGAATTAATTTAATTTAATACATTAATCGACAAATTACGTGAGAATTTATGGAGACATTTAAGTTTCCTTATTTTCTTTATTATATTTTTAGATTATATTTTTTATAATTTAATAGCAAAACCAAAAAAGCCACAATTTGCCAAGTAGATTTAAATGACGTTGAAAAAAAAATGTAAAAAATGTCATATGATATATTAAATTTGGTGATAACATGTAACAAAAAAACTATTCATTTATTAGGTAGGATTGACTAGTATAGTTGTATTAAAATCAAACCTGATCAAATTGGACTAAAACCCTATTTCTCATTTGGTTCAAACCCAAATGTTATAATGTAGAAATAACAAGAATAAACCTTCTTCTTTTAAAATAATATTAATACAAATATAATAAGGATATTGAATTAGGTAATGATATGTGATTAAAAACATTCATTTATTAGATAGGATTGATTAGTATAGTGGTATTAAAATCAAACCCGATCAAATTGGACTAAAACCCTATTTCTCATTCGGTTCAAACCAAAATGTTATAATGTAGAAATGACAAGAATAAACTTTCTTCTTTAAAAATAATACTAATACAAATATAATAGGGATATTACTAATGTTTCGTGATTAATTTTCCACGTAGCCCTCGATTGATGTGAGCCGCTCAGGTTAGTGTAATTTACATTTTTTTAATTGGGGTATTATATAATAGGGATATTACTAATGTTTCGTGATTAATTTTCCACGTAGCCCTCGATTGATGTGAGCCGCTCAGGTTAGTGTAATTTACATTTTTTTAATTGGGGTATTATATAAGAAAAAAAATTATATTTATCTACTACTTTTTTTTTTTAATCTCTACAACATATTGTGCATATGTCGTTTCAACTAATTGTTATGTTATCTCTGATAAGTACCGAAAACACATCAACACACTATTGTGAAAAAAAAAAAAAAAAAAAAAAAAACGTTCACCAGCCAGCTCCGGTGATTTTGGAGGTTGACTTTCGGCAATCGTTAAAAATATATAATTTCTTGGTCAAAACCTCCATATGGTAAATAGGAACTTGAGGTTTTAACTCACTTTTTCAATGAAAAATTCTCTTAACAAAAGAAACAAACAATTACAACTTAATAATGGGTTGGGAATTAGAAAATGTTTAGGAAGTCAAATTTCCTCCACTTTGTTGCCAAAGATTGATGATATCAGTAGCTTGATTGAGGAGGATGATCATCTTCTTTTGAGAGATCCATGGCTTGCTTTCCAAAGTTGTCTTGAGTTCTTCCCAAGCATCTTTCCTTGGCCAAAAGAAGTAAGGACTCAAAGGGACACTCCCATGTCCTGGTATCACTTGATCAAGCCCAAGCCCTATGTTCTTCTCCATCCATATGAACTTCAACACTAACCTTGGCTTTTCCACCACTTTCTTCACCTATATAATTTTACAAAAAAAAAAACTAACCGTTTTAATAAAATAAAAATCAGATAGACTATTACTCAATAACTATATGTATTGTATTTATCTATCAATTTCTAATTATAGTAATATGTTATTGAATTCCAAATTAAAAGAGTAAATACTATTCTCTTTCGTTTAACATACTTAATAGCAACTTTTACACTAGACACCTTTTTTTATGACTATTCTTTTCTTTCTTTTTTGTTGAACCATATCAATATTTTCACTTGGTACCCCGATGTTATACTTTACTTGTAGCTTTAACACTAATTATTTAAAGCTTTAATACCCCAACAAGCTTATAAGACTTGTTAATAATATAATTTGAAACACAATGATTCATATATATTCACGTATATATCCACACACACACAGAGAGAGAGAGAGAGAGAGAGAGAGAGAGAGAGAGAGAGAGAGAGAGAGAGAGAGAGAGAGAGAGAGAGAGAGAGAGAGAGAGAGAGAGAGAGAGAGAGAGAGAGAGACCTCGTCTTTTTGATCAGGAGGAGTGGGTAATGGAGTTTCTTCAGCAATGGCTTCTTGGACAGCTGCTGAAATGGAGAGGTTATGGAATCTATGAAGGAGTTTGGAGTTGTTGTTGCAGAAAGACGAGGAGGGTAGGGCTGGGGTTTTCAAGAATCCAAGAGCAACGGTATTTTGGGGAGACGAAGTTGGTGATGTGATGCCGATGATATTGATTCCTTGATGAATAGACATCGACAACATCTTGTTTGTTTTAGAGATTTATCAAAGTTTGGAAAGAAGGTATATAGCATTCGATTGATTGTTTGGATAAGGGAGGATATGACATCCACATGTTATCGCTTTTGGGCCATTGATTTCGTTTTGCCTTTAGGCCCACTACAAATAAATGAAGGCCCAAATTTTTATGTTAATGCAGCAAGTTAAATTATTACTGATAGATAAACGTATACATATACAATTTAATTCACCACACAATGTGCAATTGTGCACTATTCTTAAAGCCAATAAAAGTAAAAGGGTTAGACATCAAGATCAAATTCATGCCTTGTATTTTATATAAAACGAGGGATTAGTTAGAAGAAATCTTAGTTGATGTCATCATCATCTAAAACTGAGAGCCATTGCCATGTTTGCAGTTCTAAAATTGAGCTACATCTAACCTTAATTATATATGTATTTATGTTCACTTATATAAAAAAAATGTGAAACTATTTTATGTATGGAAAAACATGCAGATTGAATAAAAACCTCGATTAATGAACTTGTAACTACAATTGAATTTTACCTCGTTGAGGCCAAGTTAAGCATGATTCCTGCGCAGGAGAGGGTTTAAAAACATATGGATGATGAAAATATGAACTCAAAATTTGAATTGAATTGAAAGAGATGAGATGAGATGAGATGTGATTAAAATTCACCACTATCGGATTTGGGAGCTATGGTATCGATAATCAATTATTTTTTTATACACTTTACTTGCTAATTTTGTTTTATAACATCATCATTCATATTTATTATTTATTCTTAAAAGTAATTAAATTTTAGGATTTTAGTATCGATATTTTATTTTACATATCTAATATTATAACAAATGAAATACATAATGACGTAATATTTATTTGTGTACACGGTTGTATGTCATGATTATTGACTAAAATGAATTATATATACTATTAATTGTTAAAATTTTAAGGAATAGGAAACTTCTTTTTCTTTCTTCTTCTTCCACTTAAGTTTTCGTTTTCATAAAAGTGTCCCAGCTTTCTCTTTCTTCTTCTTACACTTAAGTTTTCGGGCGCGCTACCCTCATTTTTGTTAAACTTGACAGTTTTGGTCCCTATTTTTGAATTCTGTAACGGATGCATTAATTGTGTAATTAATGACATTTATTACCATTAAACGCTTAATCAATTAGTGATTTGTTCCGTTTCACGATTCAACTATAAAAGAAGATATTGCCTTCTCATTCAAACACACGAATGAAATTACTCTTCTTCTTCTTCCTTCTTTAGACTCCTGCTTCAGGCGATTCTTTCAGGCAAGTGGTGATATCCGGCAGTACACAATATTGTTTAGGTTGTTGTACCCTGGGAACAGACGGTGAATCTGTTTAAGGGAATCGAATCCAACTCGACCCTCAGCCACATCGTTTGCATCTATTTTTTTTCTTTATAGGCACCTTTCAAGGATGAAAACGAAGACACTATACTAACAGTCTTAAACAGATTTATTCTTTGTTCTAATACTTTCGTTTTCTGTTCTTTTATTCTAAAATCGAGTTTGTATCGATTTTTTTCCTGTAATAATATATTTGATTGTGGTTACGATTCTTTCAGAATGTCTGCAACTCCCGTTGGTACTGGAACTCCTGCTGTTGGTGTTACCCCTGCTGTGAACCCAAATGCACCGGTTCCAAACATCATGGCTAATCATGCTGAAAGACCTGAAAAATTTTCTGGTCTGAACTTCAAGAGGTGGCAACAGAAGATACTGTTTTACTTGACCACCTTGAACCTGGCTCAGTTCCTAACAGAAACTACTCCTGTAATTGCTGAGGGGCAGGCTGATGTTCAATCTGTGAATGCAATGGATGCATGGAAGCATTCAGAATTTCTGTTTCGCAACTATGTGTTGAATGGGCTAACAGATGCACTTTACAATGTTTATTGTAAAGTTGCAACTGCTAAGGAACTATAGGAGTCGTTAGAAAGGAAGTATAAGACAGAAGATGCTGGAACTAAGAAGCATGTTGTTGCTAAGTTCTTGGAATACAAAATGGTTGACTCGAAACCTGTTATGAGTCAAGTCCAAGACCTTCAGGTCATCATACATGATAACAATGCAGAAGGGATGGATCTTAATGAATCATTCCAAGTTGCATCAATGATTGAAAATCTTCCTCTTGGTTGGATAGACTTCAAAAATTACCTTAAGCATAAGCGAAAGGAGATGTTTGTGGAGGAACTGACGGTGCATCTTCGCATTGAAGAAGACAATAGAATGTCCTTGAAGAAAGGCAGTGAAGTTGAATCTTCTAAGGTTCATATGGTGGAAGTTGGTCAAACTTCCAAAAGCAAAGGCAAAGGACCTCACAAAGGGAAAGCAAAGGGCAAAAACCTAGGCCCCAAGGCAGGAACTTTCAAGAAGAAGTTCAAGTGCTACAACTGTAGCCAACCGGGTCACAAGGCTTCAGAGTGCCCTCAAACTAAGAGGGAAAACCGTCAAGCAAACATGGTGAATGATAACATGGAGTTGGTGGCCATGATAACTGATCTCACGGCTATGGTTTCTGAAGTGAATCTCATGAATACAAATTCAAATGAGTGGTGGATTGACACGGGAGCTACTCGTCATATGTGTCATGACAAAAGTGTTTTCAACACCTATAAAGAAGTTGAAGATGGTGAAAAGCTCTACATGGGAAATGCAGCTATCGCGGATATCAAAGGTGTTGGTGATGTCATTATAAAAATGACTTCGGGGAAAAAAGTGAAGCTTAAGGATGTTTTGTATGTTCCTGAACTTCGTAAGAATCTAGTGTCGGGTGGTTTATTGAACCAATTTGGTTTTAAGCTAGTATTTGAGTCGGACAAGTTTGTTTGTCCAAAAATGGTATGTTTGTGGGAAAAGGATATGCCTTGAATGACATGTTCAAATTGAATGTAATGGTGACAAACAAAATGAATAATGAAAGTTCTAGTTCTGCTTATTTGCTTGAGTGTTCAAATGTTTGGCATGGTCACTTAGGACATGTAAATTACAATTCAATTAAGCGATTAATTAAACTAGAATACATACCAAAACTTAATATTGACTCAAATCACAAATGCCCCACATGTTTTGAAGCCAAACAAACTAGATTGTCTTTCCAAACAATCAAAAGAAACACCGAACCTCTTGATTTAATTCACACTGATGTGTGTGATCTAAAGTCAATTCCTACTCAAGGTGGGAACTAATACTTCATTACATTCATCGATGATAACACGAAATATTGCTACATATATTTACTTAAGAGTAAAGATGAAGCAATATACAAGTTTGTCTTGTACAAAAATGAAGTTGAGAATCAACTCAACAAGAGAATTAAAGTGGTTAGAAGTGATAGGGGTAGGGAACATGTTTCTCCCTATGCTGATTTTTGTGCTAAAAATGGAATTCGTCATGTATTCACATCACCCTATTCACCTCAATCCAATGGAATTGCTGAAAGAAAGAACTGCACCTTGAAAGAAATGGTCAATGCCATGATAATTAGTTCGGGTGTAAACCAGTCAATGTGGGGGGAAGCTATTTTGTCAGCTAACTATCTTTTAAACAGGATACCTCGCAAAGAAAAGAATAAAACACTGTATGAACTTTGGATGGGAAGAAAGCCATCGTATAAGTACTTACGAGTGTGGGGGTGCCTAGCTAAAATTGTAGTGCCACCACCTAAGGTACAAAAGTTAGGGCCTAAAACAGTGGATTGTGTATTCATTGGGTATGCACAAAGTAGTAGTGCTTATCGGTTCCTTGTGCATGAATCTAAGAATCCTAAAATACACAAGAATACCATAATGGAATCAAGGAATGCTTCATTCTTTGAAGATGTGTTTCCCTGTTTGAACAAGAAAGTTGAAAGCCCATCTTTACCAAATAACAAAGCTCTTCGAGAGGAAGAACAAGCTCAATCCGAGGAGGAAGAGATAGAACCCAAAAGAAGTAAGAGGGCTAGAGTTGAAAAATCATTTACTGATGATTTTTTCACCTATGTGGTGGAAAGTGAACCTAAAACCTACCAAGAGGTGGTTACTTCTTCTGAGGGACCTCAATGGAAAGAAGCCATCAAAATTGAGGTAGAATCTATTGGATTAGTGTCTAAAGCAGTAACTATATTTGGTAAGTACTTGACCCGGTTGTGCATGGTCCTTTTGGGTTGCCTTCACCATAGCAATTTGACAAGGTGATTTATATAGAGAGAAGAGATATTATTATTATTAATGTATTATAAGAATAATATGTTAAATGAATAGTAATATTATTTGATTGATATAAGTCATAAATTAATTAAGAATTAATTTGGTGACTTAAAGAGATTAATTGAATAAAGGGGCATAAACTATCAAATGTGTGATATTTGTGTTTTTGGCTATGAATCCTTATAGATATGGGTGTAACAGCCTGAAATCCAGGTATTCTTCTATTTTGGTTATGTTGTCATTTTAGGGTTTTCATGATAAGCGAGTACGCAGGCCGTACAAGGTGTACGATGCGCGTACTCGCGCGCCTCATTTGGACGCGTTCACCCTTAGGTACGCTGGGCGTACCCAAGGTTACGCATGGCGTAACTTGCCCAAATCTAAAAACTCTAATTCCTTTGGAGGGCTATAAAAGGAATGTGTGGCTGAACTTCTCAACCACCATCCCTCAGAGTGAAACCCTAAATAGAGTGTGCCTTCGTTCTTAAGCCATTTGGTGTATATTCTAAGCTTGGTGGTGCCATCCCAAGGTTGCAAAGAGAAGAAGAGATCATTGGAAAGGATAGAAGTGGTGTTCAAGTGTAGATCTAAGCTTTGCAAGGGTTAAAGCTTGATTATCAGATAAAAAGTTCGGATCTTGTTATTTGGTTCATGATATATGCTTCAAGTACCATTTTCTAGGGTTTTAGTCCCAAAGGTGGAGACTTTTTGTGCAAATGGCCTCCATAAGCTTAGATCTTTTATATTTCTGGTCTATTGGAGTTGTAGACTCATAAAAATGACATCTTGGACGTGAATATTGCTCCATGCATGAGATCTAGGTCCTTGAGTTGGAATAGAATGTTGTTAAGAGGTGTTGGAGCCTTTACAGCCATGCCAAGGCTTAAAGGTCTCGACTTTATGGGTTTAGACACATTAACAGAGTTGGATCTAGAAGTTGGAGTAATGGCGTAACTGATTAAGACCAGAAATGAAGAGTGTTAGAATTTGATGGTTACGTTGGGCGTACTGGGTGGAGACCCCTATCCATGGGTTGGCGATGTACGCCCCGCGTACATCTAGCAGTACGCCCCGCGTACTCTCAGGGTTGACTTTTTTTGACTTTTA